GCCCTGCCTAGGTATGTGCCCTGCCTGGGATTGAACCCACAATCTGGTGTAAGGGAAAACGCTCCAACCACCTGAGGCACCTGTCCTGGGTTGTGTTTGTCTTTACAATGATATTTTTGACTAAGGTATGCTACTGACACCTATTACAAAATGAAAACTAAGACATCTTTTTATTTGTATATTCATGTTATTTCTGGGGTGAAAATTCTCAGAATAAAGATTGGCACTAATGAAACTTGGTTTCCAATGTGTCACATCCCTAAAATTTTCATATAGTTAATTTTTCTTAGGTTGAAAGTAATACAAGTGCTCATGTAATGTACTTAAAAAAGTGCCTGGCAACTGAGCACTTAAACATGTTAGCAATTATTAATAATATTAGTATAGTTACTGTAATGTTTACATTAAAAATTTAATTTGATAATATTAGAAAATGAGAACCAGTAATTTAAAATTTTCTTTCAATTACAAAATTGGTTAGTCCTCTAGATTTAAACCATATTGTGCATATATTTATTACGTTACATGAGATAGACTTTATACTCATATTTAATAACCTGACAGTTACTCTAATAAGCTAACTAAAAATGAGAGGTCAGGATGTCAAGTGAAATTCTAGTTTGTTCTGCCTTCAAAGGGATTTCCTCTTGGTCAGTTCAACTCACATTCAAACTCACCAATACAATCCCTCCCAACTCCTATAATTATTATACTTATTTGAACACTTTTTTTGTGCCTCTAATTTTAATCATGCATTTTTTCCCCCTATCTGGATAACATGTTTTTCTTTCTCAGCTCGAACATCACCTCCTTTATGAAAATTTTCCTCCCAGCTTTGTTGAACGCTAGTTCCTCCTCTGCGATCTTAAGTACTGTGTGCTTATTTTATCATAATAATTCCACCCTTAAAAGCTCTTTGTTTAATGTCTTTCTTCTCCCTAGTTTACAAACTTCCCGGAGGTAGAGACTGTTTCTTATTTATTTTTACATATCTAGTATGACAGGTAGTTCTGGATCTATTCTCCTCTCCCATCTTCCTAGCAGCACCTGAATATTATTTGGAGTGGTAAATTTGCCTATAACAGGGACTGCTAGATGTTTCCCACCTGCCTTCCTTTTTGCTACGTGAAATGCAGAATGCAGATGTCAAGGCTGGAGCTCCCAAAGACACCTTATAAACATAAGAATAAGGACAACATCCCAGGGAGGCAGAAGGAAAATAATCAGGGAGGGGAAAAAAGAGTGACATCATAGAGCCACCATGCCAGCCATAGGCTCTGGGCATTGTGAGAAGCTACTATTTTTCAGCTATCTTCACTAGTAACTAAGCACATTCCTTACTGATATACCTAAGTACTCAATAACTAACTATTCAATAAAGCATGCAAAGAACAAAATTTACTAAAAATAAACTGTGAAACTTGTACAGGACCCCATAAGCAAGCACTTCATAAATGCTGACTAACACAGGTCTCTCCTCTGTTCTTCACAAGACGGACTATCACCTTTCCTTCGGATAGAAAGACAATGGTGCAGAAGATAATGTCTCTATCCACTTACACTACCAAATTGGTACTCACTGAAAGGGCCCCACTGGAATCTCTGTTCACAGTGGTCACTGGAATCAAGGGAATAAAAGATGTGTATAAAGTCAGGAGAAAGAGTCAATGTCCAGAAATACTAGGAAACACAGAAAAAGAAAGCTTAAGATAATACATAGGTATTAGAACTTCAATAATTTAAGTAATGCTGCCACCATGTGGCATTTATTCCCTCCTTTTAGAAATAAATTTTGCATAGAAAAAGATGATTGTTGCTATGTGTGTTAATTTTTTAAAATATATACACTATAAACAACTTTAGTTTTAAATACTAGCCAGTTTTTCTTAAAGTGAACTACAATTAAATGGTATAAAGAAGATGTACTGATAGCTCTGCTTTACCACCCCTCTCTGTCCAATCATGCAATTCTGGGTGAAGAGCACTTGGACTAATTAGAATCAAAGGATATTATTGTCTGGACCAAGATAGAAAAGAACTGTAAATAATGCATATATCCTTTTAACTCTAAAGTCTAAAATGCTTTCAGCTTTTCTCCACCAAACCCTCAAGACGACCATCTGGGGAGGTCACTGTGTAAAAAGACTGGATCAGGTACATTTCAAGAAAAGAAAATATATTTCGTTGAAGATAATGGTTCAAACTTAGCTGACAAAATATTTTTGAGCCCTTCAGAGACCATTTTTCAAAGACAACATAAGAATGCCTCACTTCGTGCATTAGTTCCTGACATTGCCTCACATAAAATCAATGCTTAAGACATTTATGTAAGTTTCTATCTATCATACCCAGGGTGAAAATTTTATTCTTTAGTAAACATATTCCTCAGATAATGCTCATGCCACTTGCTTAGTAAATCCCTATTTTCCCTTAGCCATGAAAAATTGAACCCAAATTCATAAAACTTATTGCACATTCTGAATCAATACATTTTTATTTGATTGTACTTGCTACCATTTTCTCTTAATAAGTTACTAACATTTGTCAAATACATATACACCAGAAATTTTTAGAAATGTTTCATATAATCCTCACAAAACCTCTGAAGTATATATTATTGTTCCTATTTTTAAAATAGGAGAACTAAGCCTCAGTAAAGTAAGTAATCATAACTAGTAAGAAGAGTGTCAGGACTTAACCCAGATACGTAAAGCTCCAAGGCCCATGTTGTTTTCTACTCTTCAACATAGCCTCCTCTCCACAAAGACCTTTGAGGGTTTAACAACCCAGAATGCAGATACAGTTGTTCCTTAGCGTAGTGAAGGACTGGTTCCCGGAGCCGCCCGCAGATACCAAAATCCAAGGATGCTCAAGTCCCCTACATAAAAGGGCATAGTATTTGCATATAATCTACACACAGCCACTGAATACTTTGTCATTTCTAGATTACCTAAAATACTAATATAATGTAAGTTCTTTATAAATAATTGTTATACTGTATTGTTTAGGGAATAACAACAAGAAAAAAGTCTGTACATGTTCAGTAAACACAACCATTTTAGGCTTAAATATATAACACACACCAATAACATAACGTTTTTTTACTGAATATTTTCAAACCAGACGCAGAACCCACGAAAACAGAGGGGCAACCGTAATTCCTTTCCTTTTAGACACATGCTCCTGTAAACTATCTTCATCATAGTTAAAAGAGATATTGTCACTGTGGTCAGTGTGGCTCAGCTGGTTGGAGCATCATCCCAAAACCAAAGGATTGCGGATATGGATTCCTGATCAGGGCACATACCTAGGTTGCAGGTTCATTTTCCCATTGGGGTGCAAACAATCCCTAGCCTGGGCATGTACAGGAGGCAACCAATTGATGTTTCTCTCTCACATTAATGTTTTTCTCTTTCTCTTCCTCATTCCCTTCCTCTCTCTCTGAAAACAAGTCCTCGGGTGAGGATAAAAAAACAAAGAAAGAGGTACTGGCTTCAACAGGAAGTGAGGTCTTAAATAGAACATATTCAGTAGCATAAATGTAACACTTCTTTTGTCTTCCATACAAGACTCAGTTTCATAGAAAATATCACACTATTTAAAGAACACCAAAATAAGTATAATGACACCTGTATTCTAGGGATAACTCAGCCACTACTTAGCTGCATGGCTTTTTATACACTGCTTTCCATCTCTGGGCACAGTTTCTATGAAGTGAGGAAACTGAATTAGAGAATCCACCATTATTATAAAATTCTATGCTTCTTTATATAGAGTATATCTTTAAAGGTATATTTTTAAAATTGTCTTTTAATAACTAGTCAATATTTCAAATTAACCATACTGGCAAAAAAGATGACTTATGAAAAAAGATGATTTATAACATCACTGAATATCAAAAACCCAAGTTTTAGTCCCAGCTCTGCTACTTGTTTTTTTGAATCATATTAAGCACCTACCATGCACCAGACATTATTTTAAGCATTTTGAGTACAACAGAAAATAAAAAAGGTAAGTCCCTATTCTCAAGGTGCCTATATTCTAATGAGGGAGGCCGGTAATATACAAGTAGATAACAAGAAAACTATCAGGTAGTTATAAGAGCTTATGGTACGCAGAACTCTTAAGATGGCCATCCAGACCCCACCCCTAGTGTACACGGATCTTCTCTCAGTTACTGAACCAAACCCTGGCCAAGGTGCTGCTGTGAAGATACTCTGCTAATACATTTTAGGTCCCGTATCAGCTGACTTTAAAAAGGGGAGATTATCCTTAGTGGGTCTGACTTAATCAGGTGAATCCTTAATGGGGAACCAATTATATATGTGCAAAATAACAGTAATATGAAATAGGATGGCAGGTTGGTGCATCAGTATTGCTGAACCATAGCATGCAAGGTGGGTGGCATGAGAGCTAGAAAGGTAGAGAACAGGTCACAAAATGATGCTTGGGCTTTATCCTGTAGATGGCAAATATTATTAAAGAGTTTTAAAAAGTGAAATAATGTTAGAGTACTCTGGCAGCAGAATAAAGACTGGATTTGACTGGTTTGATAAAGCAGGCACATAAGTCAGAAGGGATAACAATTTATTAGATACCATCTAGAAGACTTGCTCACTGAATATGGGCCCTAAAGGTGAGAGAATACCTAAGGATGATTCTCATGTATTAATTTAAGTGCTGATGTCCCAACTGAGAAAAAAAAAGTAAGATCAGTCTTTAAAATTTTTTTTTTGCTGTATCTCATTGTAGAGATGAAAAAAACCTGACATCGACAGACATTAAATATGCCCGAGTAGGCAAAAGAACTTGAGTCCAAGTCACCTGCTGCCTAGTCTTGTGCTCCTTCCATTAATAGCAATAACTCTTAATTAGTTTTATTTTGTAAATTTTATGAACATATGAAATCAGAAACTTTAAAACTAGAAAATGTCCATTCTGTATATGAACACACTAACAATTATGGAAGTATTTTTACAAAATAAGTTTTAAATACTCACTTCAAATTCTTTCACAAAGTAACGGATTTCACCTTGAATAACTGGTCTGTGATCTAACAGCCTTGAATGAATTTCCCCAAGATCTGTAAGACAAAATAAAATTCTGGGTTAATCCATGTTAAGTGACACAATCTCTAGCTTGTTTTACTCTTCCTGTTTCCCATAAATATATGAAGGTTAAAATTTAGTTTAGGTAATGAATTAAGAAGAAATCCTCTCATCCACTGTCAGTAAATTGATACGAATATTGAGAACAATTTGGCAATACGTAATAAATCCGAAGACATGTATACCTAACAATTTCATGCCTATTCTAGAAAAACTTACCCAAACAAGACATACTTATAAATGAATGTAATGTCAAATGTCAAAAGAGACACTTACACTTAAATGAGTGTAATGTCAAAAGAAAAAAGGGGCAACCTGAACATATTCATGATGGAATACTGTAAATCAGCAAGTAAAATAAATACACTAGGGTTACACTTATTAACATAGATTAATTCTACATATATAATGTAATACACAAAAAAGGTTTCAGTAGGATAAAGCTATTTACATAAATTTTAAAAATATGCAAAAGGGCACTTCCTCTTGGGATACATACAGGAGCAATAAAACTATAAAGAAATCTATGAGAATAATACCAAATTCAAGACAGTAGTTACCTTTAGACGAGGGAGATTAATGCAATTAAAGCAAGATACACTGTGATCTTTTAATGTTTCTTTGTTAAGATGGGTGGCCAGGGTTCATTATAAAGTCTCTACTTTTTGACAGGCCTGAAAAAGTCATCATTAAAGAAAAAAGTTCTGAATTTAAACTGTTTTGGAAGAGTCCTCTAGTCATTCTACTTAGTAACAACTATATAGGGTAAGAGGTAAACCTCAAAATTACCGGAGGAGTTAAACCCCCCAAAAAGAAGATGTCCCATTCATATCCACTCATTGGTATAATCTGTTCCTCAAATTTCTTACTTGTGCGGACACACGATGGGGGCAAATTTTAATTCTCTGTGTTAATGAGTTTTATTAGGATATGTCGTGGTAAGTAAAAATATATACACAAAAATACTACTTTTGCTTAAATCCTTCCATGGTTCATTAATTAGAATAGATCTCTGAGAAGATAATAGTTCATCTAAAAAAAATTCTACTTAGCTAAGTTTGGGAAACAGATAAAATGTAGTTACACAGATTCCTTTACTTCTGATCTTCTGGGAGCCTATAGTATACAGATACAAATTAGGAATGCCTAAATGAGGGCTATGCTGTGCAGAAATTTACGGACCTTATTTGACAAGAGAATCTATTTGCAAAGGGCATCTATCCATATTTCACCAAACACCAATGCCTGGCTAAGAGGCTAAAGTCCAAGGCTCCTAAAAAGTCACATAAGGGCCTCCAATGGTCTGGCTCCAGCTTCATCTTCCACCTGTCAGCAATTCTAAACTACCTGCAGTTTTCCAAAAACACCATGCTGCCTCATTCATAACACTGTCACCACCTGGAACCATTTCCTAACTCCCTAATCCCTGCGCTCTTCCTTCAAAACTGCTCAGGTATCATACTTCCTTAAAATTTTCATTAATTCTATCTAGTTTCCTCCTATGTTTCAGGAGTGTCCCTACTTTATGTTCCCAAAGCACTCAGGATATATACTTTCATCATACCACTTACCATGGTGCCCTAAAATTATCTCTGTCCTCCATCAAGTACCTCAGAGATCGAAGTATTTACACTGTTCACAGTGCATACATGAATTAACATATAATTGTCTATGTGACTAAGAAGTCATTAAGCTTTATTGATTTTGGGAGATGTTTCTGTGGCCTGATATAATGGGAATTTACTTAACCTTTGGAAAGAAAATTCAGTTCTATTTAGAGGTGGATAACGACCATTTCTAAAACCAAGACTGTGCTCCAAATTTAAGATAGTAAAGATTTGAAGGGAAACAAAGGGATTCTGAAATATACATTACTATAGAAATTAAGCCACTAACTAGTTCTGTTACAACATTACAACAACAAAACAAGCACATAATAATAATAGTAATAATAATTCAGAGATTGTAGGAATCCAAGGATTACAAATAAATTCTCTACGAATAATGTAAATAACTGTAAGTTACAGATTTTCACACAGCTGTTGTACATGGGAAGTATTCTTTTGTTGTTTGATATGCAAAACAAAAGATACTATTTTTTGTTCTCCGAAAGTCCATACTCTACTGTGGGAGTTAGGCAAATATCCCTTCATACCAAAGATAGGATAATCACTTTAATAAAAGATCAAAATGCTATGCGACTAGGGAAAAGGAGGAACACAGTCCATTACAGATCTCTCATTATCTAATAAAAGATGTTTTCCCCCACAGCCCTAAATTCGGACGCTTTTAATGTAATAGGTGGAGCTTTGTGTATATTAAAGAACAATTTACTGCATAGCAATTTTTCCTGATAATACCCTTGATGTCACCATATAGATGTTCTTCTCAACTTACCAAATCATTCCCTTTTCCATCCCTGCTTGTCTCACTTGGACTACATCAACAGTTATCTTTATAAATCACTCCATACAGAGTCAATTCTCATTATTTGCAGTAATTATGATTATAAAGTTGTCACAAGCACAGAACTAAAGAACACTGAACTATGCTCCTAAAAGATATACAGGTAGGCTTCTGCAAGCCCCTTGTCACATTTTTGTCAACCAAAACACCATTTGTGTCATATAGTTTTACCAAGACCCTTGTAAAACACACTAGCCTTAGTGTTGAAGGTCTACTCTTCCAATAATGCTTTTTCTTGTATAACACTCAGCAGGGTTTTTTTTTTCCCCCCAAATACATTTGTCTCTGCCTTCCCTCCACCACTTTCCCTTGCCCCCTCCCCCACCAACCCTTCTTTGGTTTTGTCCATGAGTCCTTGCTATATGTTCCTTGACTTTCCCCTTCCCTTCCTTTTCCCCCGTCCCCCCGCCCCTTCCCTCTTGTCTCTGTTGGTTTCTTTTCCTTTCAGTGTTGCTGGTCTTATTTTCCTTGCATCTTTGTATTGTTGGTTAGGTTCCTCAGCGGGTATTTTTAAAGTTCTTCTACAGCCTCCTGATCTGCAGAACCTGCTTCACCACAAGTCTAACATTTTTCACACTGTACCACTTTTGAAAGTTCTAGCCAGCACCAGCAGAAGAATTTAACACTTTCCTGACCGTTGGTAACTGACTATAAATTTCTTTGGCTTTCAACTGCACAACAGTGATATCTGCTATGCTTTCGCTATGGGTCATCATCTCATAAGTCCACAAATCTAGCTGCTTTTCCGTTGCTTCTTCATACACCGTACATGTTACCTTGGCACTTCCTGAAGTGGCCTCACGCACAGATTGGAGAATTTTCTTTTTTCTTTTTCTGGATTGCTGATTAACACTGAACTCACATTACATAGCACGGTAACTCATACCTGAAAGAAACTTCTCTAATATTCTGTAAAGCACATCACATAGCCTTCTTGTGCATATGGCTACTTCAGCACTACATCTGAAAATCACTTCCAACAGCAAAATCACCAACAAAAAGTAGAAAAATGTGAAAAATATGGCACTAAACAGAAAGCAAAAAACACACTTGTTTACATCTGAGAGATGAAACAAAAAGCATAGTGTTGTGTAGTTCATTGTCAACTAAATGTGCACATAGGGCAACTCAAATTTTTCTCCACTCTGCCTATGTGGGAATTACAATGAAAGTACCACCAACATTGGTTTTGGAGTTATGAACTTATCTTAACAAATAGGCAAATTCACAAAAATGCAATCCATGAGTTGAGGATCAACTACGCTCTGTCCAAGTGCCCTATTTAAAAATAGAAATCTAACTACCTGATTCTCATACTTATTATTGGATAGTTTCCTGTCATTGAAGAAAAAGCCCAATTTCCTTATAAAGGCAGAAAGTCTTGTATGGTCTGGTATCTACCACTCCCCTTCTCTCAAGAGTCCCACTGTAACTACATGTGTAGTTTCGTAGATATGCCTTTGCTCATGCTGTTCCAAACAAAGTCCAAAATACTCTTGCCCTCTTTTCTTAACTGCCAATACATTATTCCTCAAGACTCAGATCAGATACTCCATCCTCCAGGAAGCCCCTTCTGTCTCCCAGTCCCCACCTCTAACACCCACCCATGGGCCAGAATCCCTCAAAGACCCAGGGCATAAGTACTGAAATCATTTATGTTTCCCTTTCACTAGTCTCTGGCAGGAGGATTAAACAAGCATCTGGTCATATTTGACAGTTTTCAAGTAAGATGAACTGAAAATAGATTTTTCTGAATGAAAAGAATGGCTCCACTGAAAAAGCCAAGGACATTCTAGACATATTTTCAATTACAACTCAGTTTTGGATAAACTTGAAAAAATTCCCTTGAATTACCTTTTTTTAAAAAAAGTACATTAAAATTAAAAACTTCTGAACATCAATGGATATAATCAACAGAATCAAAAGGCAACTCATGGAGTGGGAGAAAATATATGCAAATCATGTATCTGAAAAGGTGTTGATATCTAGAATACATAAAGAACGCCTACAATTTAAAAAAAAACCCAAATTATTTGATTCAATAACGGACAAAGGACTTGAATACACATTTCTCCAAAGAAGCTATACAAATGGCTAATAAGCACATAAAAAGATGCTGAATATCACTATTCATTAGGGAACTGCAAAGCAAAACTAAAAGATACTATCTCATACCCATTAGGAGGGGCTATCAAGGAAACAGAAAACAACAAGCCTTGGTAAGGATGTGGAGAAACTGGAACCCTTGTTCTCTGTTAGTGAGAATATAATATCATACTGCTTCTATGGAAAACAAGTATGATGACTGATCAAAGAAATAAAAAAATTGAATTATCTTTGACCCAGGAATACCAGTTTCGGGTATATATTCAAAAAAATTGAGAGCAGAAATTCAAACAGATATTTGGATACCCAAGTTCACAATAACCGACCGAAAGCGTCTTGAAATAATTAAATTATTCACAATAACCAAAAAAATGGAAGCAACAGGAGTGTTCATCCACAGATAAATGGATACACAAAATGTGGTGTGTGTACATGTGTATACACACACAACAGAATATTACTTAGCTTTAAAAAAGAAATTCTGACATGCCACAACAGGGATGAACCCTGAGGATGTCATGTTAAGTCAACTACACCAATCGCAAAAGGATAAATACTGTATAATCGCACTTACATGAAGTACCTAGAGTAGTCCCATTTAGAGACAAAATAGAATGGTGGTTGCCAGGGGCTGCAGGGCGTTAAGTGTTTAATGGGGACAGACTTTGGCTTTCCGAAGATGAAAAAGTTACGGAGATGGACGGTGGTGACAGCTGCACAATATGAATGTTCTAATGCCACGGACCCGTACACTTAAAATAGTTAAGATAAATTTTGTTCCGTGTATTTTAGCACAACTAAAAAAAATTAAGTAATTCACTAAGATTACATATATAAACTATGATAATTTAGCCCTAACACTCATGTACCACTCCCACACTCCTAATTATCGCAGATTTGAGAGACGAATAGCCACAGCCAGCCGTGCTGGGGCTGTAAAAATCTTAACAGTTAAAATGACCTACGCGGCATTTTAACGAGGGGTGCCGGTGCCGTTCCGTGGCTGGTGCTGCAAGACTCCGGAATCCTACAAAGGCTTCTTCAACACTGCCATGCGGTGGGGCTGACAGGGGTAGGGATGGAGTTAAGAAAGGCTGGCGATGAGAAACTGGCAAAGATCTTGCTGCAGGAAACCGGGCTGTTGTGAGTTTTGGAAATCAAACTAAACTGGTTCTGTGAGAATCCAGGTTTTAGCTAGGTCGTAATCTGCTCCCCTCTCAAGGCACACAGGTCAAATGGATATCCGCGTACGTCTAATACAAATTTAATTATTTCAAGACACTTCATGTTATCTCATTTACTCCTGGGCAGACAGGGCCAGACTAGGTAAAGCCAACGACCTAAGTCACACAACACCTAAGCGACCTGCCCGGAGGCGTAGGCCTTCGCGACTGCCAGTCTCGCGGTTGTTCGCATTCCAGGTCGGCGTCCAGGCCGCGCCCAGAGGCTCGGGGCCCAGGGGTTCCGGGTTTGGGGGTGGGGGTCGGGGTGAGGCTGCCCGAAGGTTCACATCCTAAAAGGTGGTGTTTTTTGTTTTGTTTTGTTTTCTTGAGGCAGTGAGAGACTGGGCTTGTAGTTACTAGAAGGCCCCTGGAGCAGAGCAGAGAAACAGGGAGCACAGGCAAGCCCCACAACTGCCCCCCGACACACACCCAAATGTGAGGCCTCAGCGAGCTGGGCGGTGGCCTGAGGCACCGCCCCAGGTCAGAGGGCACCGCCTCGGAGGTGGAGCTGCCCTGGCGTCCACCAACGCTGTATCCCTACCACTTCGTACCCTTGATAACGAGGTGAGCTGGCGAGCCCGCGGCCCCTAGCGAATCTCTCTTCTTCTTGCCGTCGTCGTTGCTGCTACTGCCGCCGCCGCCGCCGCCTCCTGTCGCGGCGGCCTCACAACCCACAGCGGTCTCCGTCCCTCCGCCACTCATCCCGACCAGCTCCGCCCACCCGCGGCCGGGCTGCGCCTGCGCGAACGGGATCCGCCGGTTTTCCCGGCGCGGGGGTACCGTCATCAAAAGGCGCCGAGGAGCCACCCTGTGGGGGGTTCCAGGAAGGGGCCTGTGGTGTAACTGAGGATGTGAACTTGACGGAGCCGATGCTGTTGTGCTGCATTGGGGCAGGTACTGCCCGAATAGGAAGGTGCCTGAAAGTTAGAGCTAAAGTCTCTTATTCCTCCCTAAACCGGCTGGACTTTGTTGTGATTTAGAGAGGTTGGGGAGAGGGCATGCAGTCGTCGAGTAATATTAATAGTAGTCCTATAAATATATTATCTATATCATTACTTTCCACCAAAAGCTTGTGAAGTGTGTTGAGGGACGTGCATTGCCATATTTGTTCACCATAGCAATTTGGAGGAACGGTTTAATCATTTCTTTCCAACAAATTAAGAAACAGGATTAGAGGTTAAGTAGTTTTCCCAAATCATTTATCAGGCTCATTTGTGCCCGTGTAAAGAAGAAAAAAAAAATCTGTTCTAATCTCTTGTATTTACAAAATTTCAACCAGTTGTTATATGGGCTAAGATAAAATGGATGTAAGTATTGAAGGGACTGATTTTCTAGGCTGCTTTTAATTGTTCTGGTCATGAAGAGACGTGTGGGGCTGCCATATATCAAACTGCTGCCATTTGGTAAACTCCATAAAGTTCATCTTGTACTCTCAACAAGTCTTCAAAATACAAACTGCAACTTAGTAGTGGCTCCTTCACCTCTATATTCAGTGGTTCTAATAAGACCCATCTCAATCTCTCCTTTTCTCCTTCCTCTCTACACTGTCCTTACCGTCATGGGTCGGGGATCAGGTGCTGAAGAAGGGACATAAACCAACGTTTACAATATAGGTCCTATAAATAATACAAGAGGAAGATGCAGCACACATGTGGGACACCTTGGGGTGGGAGGCGGCCAGAAAGGACTTCCCAGAGGAGGTACACATTTGTCCCCAGAACTGAAATGAAGAGATGTTAGACTAGTTGGGTGGGGTGAAGATGGAACTTGGGGTTTCTTAGAGGAAGTAACAAGCCCAAAGGCAAAAAAGGAAAAATGGACGAGTTAATAAATAAAATGTAAATTAGGTTAATTGCAAGTTGCTGGGTCTGTCTACTAACTTTTCTAGTCTTACTTTCATTTCCCAGCTGTAGCATCAGCCTCTAGAAAGAATAATTATTTTGAAAGCCCTCCATTATTCTCTGACTGCTAGGCACTTTTCTTATTCCTTTTCTTCTGTATCTGCAATCCTAAGTTTCCTCTTAAGGTGGTTCTCTTATTGTCTTTGAACTACTGAAAAACCTTTGTATGCTTACTATACACAGTGAGGTGGAAGGCTTATCCCCTCGTTACCATGGCTGTTAAAAATGCAAGTTCTGGGTTCCACCTTCAAAAATTCTGTTTCAGTAGTTCTGGGGTAGCTGCTATTTCCCCTTACTTAATTGCTGATAGATTATGATACAAGTGATAAAAAACTCTGGGTACAGTAGATAAGACTGGAACCAAACAGAACTGAGTTCAAATTCTGGCTCTGCCACTTGGCCTCCAGTTCCTTCTGTGTAAAATGGCAATGAAATATCCATCTTTTAAGGTTGTTGTGATGACTTAAAGAAGATAATACCTGCAAAGCACTTTGTACAATGTCTGGCACACAACAAATGCTCAATAAATGTTCTTAATATTACAATAACCTCCTCTGTCTCCTTCTATAGTTCTGTATAATCTGCTCTCATTCTTTCAATCTGCCTTCATTACCTACCACTATAATATATTGTACTTGTTTAGCACTTTACAATTTATAAAATGCTATCATGTATCATATATCATATGTCTCTTAATCTCATTAATCTAGTTGAAGTAGATAATAAAGTATCTATTTTCAGATGAGTAAACTGGGAGTCAGAGAATATGGTACAGTTTCCAAACATGGCTGAGATCATTCCTCCCCTCCTTGCACACACATGCAACAGGCTGGAGTTTGTTTCCCCTCCCTGGAATTTGGATTGGCCACGTGACTTGCTTTGACCAATAGAACGTGATGGAAAAAAGAGCTGTGCCTCAACACAACTGGCAGTTTTTGCTTTTGCCCTCTTGTCAGAAGTCCAGGCTATTCTGCTGTTGTGAGGCCATCGTGTAGAGAAGCACTGGAAGATGAGGCTTCACCTGTAGAGAGATGCTGTGTAGGTGAGAACTGAGACACCCTAGCTGTCAGCACCAAAGCCCCTCCAACCCCATGTGTGGAGGCAGCCTTCTTGGAGCTTTCAGCCCAGCCACCAGCCATATGCATTGCAGACATATGAACTGCAGTGGAGCCAGAAAACTGCCTAATCAGCCCACAGTATTGTGAGAAATAATCTATTTTTGTTGTTTTAATCCCCTAACTTGTGTCTGTACTTAAATTATGCCCCACTTTTGTAGAAAGGATTTAAGATGACTTAAAATAATCCTTATACTCCCACAAGATGGCACCATAGTTATGGAATAGCAGGACCAGAATCAAAGTGCTGGTCTTGAAACCTGAAAAGTTGGTGTTTGTGCTGCCTGTCACTACCAAAACCAATAAACAGAGACAAGGATTGAATCTTTATGGGCACTTTATTCAGATGTCTGGCACACTGAGAAGACTACAGGTTATGTGCCCTAAATGACCATCTTACATCTTATCTCAAACTGACCATTTTTGTAAAGAGAAGAAAAGTGTAGATTAGAGGGTTTGGAATTCAGGGAAAGGTTAATCAGATAAAAGCTGCAGTCCGATGATTTTCCTAGTGCACTTTCGTCCATTGACTGGTGATTCTTCATCTGCACCCTGGTCAACAGATGTACATTCTCTCCCTGGAGCACAATAGCTCATATACTATCCTGATAGCTTGCAATCCTCGTGGGCACAAAGGTCGAATTGCTTTTGAGTCTCTTGGAGTCAAGGTGGGTCTGGTCATTACCAGTTCCTGGAAGAGTAGTTTTCTCCATGCATTAATTACTGAGTTTATTAACTATAACTTAAAACTGAAAACGTTTCAACTCTTGAGGTCCCCATCAGTGTTTTGACATCAAGGTTGGTGCATTCCAATATAGCAAAGCCCAGTCAGCTAGGGAGGTGTGCCTTGACTGTGCCAGACTTATTTCGGCCTCTTTTAGACAACCTCCATCCTGAAATACTTTGTCATCCCCTTCTGCCTATTCGGTTTACCACATTTTCTTAATATTGTACCAATAATAAAGAATTTGGCTGATCTTTGTCCCTGGTTCCTGGGAGATAACCTCTGAATCCTTGGAATTTCCCAAGTGGGAAAAGGAGGAGGGCTGGAGACTGAATTTAATCATGTGGCCAATGATTCGATCATCCATGGCTGTGTAATGAAACCCCGATAAAAACCTCCTCTTGGACATTGATGTTCCAGTGAGCCTCCTGATTGGTAATCAGGCACTGATATTGCTGACAGCTAAGGAGTACTGAGGACAAAGAAGCTTCGTGTTAGGGACCCTCCCAGACCCCGTTCTATGCATCTATTCATTTGTCTTATCCTGATCTGTATCCTTTACAATAAATCTTTAATCCTAACTATATCGATTTACTGAGTTCTATGAGTCAATCTAGTGACTTATTGAACCTGAGGGAGGGGGGCAGTGGGAACTGCTAAAATTAGTAGATAGCACAGGTAGCCTGGGAACCCCAGAGCTTATGACTCGTGTCTAAAGTAAGGGCTGTCTTGTGGAAGATGGTGTCCTTCACTTGTGAGGTCTAAGCTAACTCCAGTATAACCAGTGTCACAATTGTGTGGCAACTGAACAAACACCAACAAGGCACTTACAATGTACCAGATAATGTTGTAATTGTTATACACATTTTAATTCTCATGGCAGTCCTCTGAAGCAGATATAGTTGTTATTCTCATTTCACAGGTGAGTAGGGCTATGGCACAGACAGGTTGAATGACTGCTAAACTTGTATGTGACAGAAACAATTTTGGTCCTTGCATATGTGCTTTAGTGTAGGTGGTGGATGAGGAGAAAGTGAAGGAGATTTGGAGAGAAGGAAACTAATAGGCCATGTGGGATTTTCATTTTTTCATCCAAACACAGCAAAAAGTGCTCCTGTATTGACCACTTTCTATGTGTCAAATGCAGTACGAGTAGCTGAGATATAAGGGTGACAAGACTGCCCATCTTCCTCCTTTCCTTGTGGAGTATACAGTCCACGAGAGGGGATAATATGAAATCACTATACAATTACTTTTCTGCAATTCTGTTGCTGATAGACTGTAGATACGTGTTTTAGCCATTTGATTGCATTGCTCTGTACACTACTGAGTTGTGTCATTTTTCTGGGATGGCCAGGTTCAGTGTATGCCCTTTAATTCCCTCACTTTCCAGAAATCTTTAAACTGCAGCTCAGACATCAAGGAGAGAGTCAGAGAAGGGCCGCACTGGCAGCACTGTTCTGCCTGCAGCTTCAGCTGAGGTTGGGGTAGCTCTGTGTCCTTGGTTTCTGACCCATGGAATTGCAGAGTTTTGAAGTTAAAAGTGTCTTGTGGTAGCTCTTGTTGTTTCTGGATTAATGAGACTTTTCTAAAATAACACTTTAATTGAAATCTTTGCAGAGTCTCACACAGTTGTATGTTATAATACACGGATTCCTTGTACACTTTATCTAGCTTTCTTCCAATGGTACCATTTTGCAAATGTCACTATCACAATCAAGATACTAATATTGGTGTAATCTACCAGTCTTACTCCGATTTATCCAGTTTTGCTTGTGTTCAGTGTGTGTGTGTGTGTGTGTGTGTGTATTTAGCTCTGTACAATTTAATAACGTGTAGGTTTATAAGTTCATCATCACAGTTAAGATATTGAACAGTTTCAAAACCAAAAGGATCCCACATGGTGCCTTTTTGTAACCACACCTGCCTCCCTCTCTGCTCACTCCTAACCCATGGCAACCTATATTGTACCCTCCATTTCCAAAATTTTGTCA